AGTGTGATGGCCGACGAAACGTTTCAAAACATTGTGTGCACGTGCAATGACGGCAGGACCATCCCCCTTCTGCGGCACAACAGCGTTGAGCAGTAGCTCGGCCTGGGACGGGCCGTCGGGCCGCACCTGCGGGCTGCCTCGCGGTGCTCGAGCTCACGGCGGCGCGCCTCCTCCTGCTGCTGCTCCAGCTCGCGCTGCCGCATCATCTGGCGGTCGAGCTCGTCCTGGCGGCGCCGCTCCTGCTCCAGCCTGTCGGGGGCAGCGGCACGAGTCACTGCGACGGCCACGCTCATTGGGCGGCGGCGGGTCCGACTCGACAACACTACACCTGTCACAACGCACGCGACCGGTCCTCGTTTGAACAACTCAACACCCGCGCCCCTTCTATATCATCGCAACCCGCCCTGGCATTGTGCCGCGACCTCCTCCCTCGATCTAGCGGGGACCCTTCAGCCACATCAGCACTCAGCGCAATCCGTGCGTCACGCCCAGCCAGCAGCAACACCACCGACCCCTCATCCCGTACATCCCCGGCCACGGCCACCGCACAGCTAGCGCGACTCCCATACCCGTCCCGCCGCCCCACCTGGCGCGCTCCTGTTTCTCGTGCTCCTCGCGCTCCTTGCGCGCGCGCTCCTCCTGCTCGCGCCGCTGCTGGTCCTCCAGCACCTTGCGACGCCGCTCCAGCTCCGCCTGACCCTTGTTGTAGTTGTCCCGCCGGCGGTCCTCGAACGACGCTGTCGGCGGGGTATCGGCCGTGAGCGGGCGGTGAACCCTGGCTTGGCGGCGAGTCGAACCACGGCAAAGGGCCGCGTGCCCCCCGCCACGTGGGCATGCGCGGCTTGAGACAATGTCGACCAGACGACACGGTCTTAACGGCAACCACGACTTTAGCGCGCGATAAGTAAAATAGTTTTCAGCGCACCCGCCCAGCAATCACCCAGTAAGACAACGCTCTCAGACCAATCCACTTAAAGAATTGCGAACTAACTAGAATGAGATGAGAAAATGTAAAACTAAAGACACACGTAGGGACACTGTCATCACGCTAAATCGATTGTGCTCGGTTTATGTACGCACATCATTACGGCGAGATACGTGAGTAAAATAATAAGCGCATGGCAACAGCGAGATGCATATCACGAGGATAACAGGAGGGTATGCATAACAGGAGATGCATATCTTGGCTGCAGACTTCAGTCAACTCAGTCACAATATATCTGGGGTACCATGGTCTCTCCAACGGCGTGGTCATGCCTGTGCAGCATCCACAATACGGCCCGCCAGTTCCCGGACCCCGTGAACCCAGGAGCGAGCACGGAGACGGCTGGCACTGCCGACGGGCGTCTTCCGCAAACATGGCCATCAGACGGCGTCCGACGCCGGCCCAGCGGCCGCGGCCAGACGCCTGTCCGACCTCAGGCTGCAATAACACAGGGGTACGTGCCTGGCAGGCTGCCCGCCCCGGCCCGTCGGCACGGCCGCTCCCCACAGCATGTGTCCCGACGCTACATCGACGCTCGCCTGCAATACCCTCCCCTTCCCCACACCTGAACACACGTGATAAGGACCACCTCAAGTGTCACTCCAGATTAAGCATAGGCTGAGCAAGACAAAACACATATTGTATGTACAAGTTTCTGTTATGTTTTCGCGACACATGCAACTTGTGTGACCAGTAGTACCGAATTTCTTTGCCCATGCACGTGGTCGGAATTTCACCCCGGGGGTGAGGCGAACTCTTTTTTCAGAAGCTTCCCGCAATCGAGGAAACCAGTTTCGCATGGGAACCCCACGGTCACTTTTCTGGCCGGATTTACGCTGCTTTTTATAGAGGCCATTTGGCACACCACGAGGCCTCTTGGCCGACCCAGCCGCCCTCGACACTTATGAAACCTCATAAAAAGGTTATCAACCGTCGCTACATCTCAATTTTAAACTGAATTATCCTTAAAATATATGCTTGGCCAATTTTCCGACGCCTGAGGAAGCCCTTTAACCTTTCGGGGGCTCAGAGGGCCCCGGTTCCTAAGGAAGGGGGAGGGGATCGCCCTGTCCACCCACTTGATTAGGTCCTTAATGCTGCCTGGTGGTGTCAGGAAACCCCAAACACAGCGACCATTAAACCTCGCATCATGGGCGCCATAGTACCAGCACCGTCGGCGCGCCCTACAGTCCGGAGCCTTATCATCGAAATAGCGCATCTAATCCTGCAGCATTCCGATCCCCAGCCCACCACTCCGCCGTAAATCCGCCGCGTCCGGCGCCGCATGTTACAATCCGCTGCATCGCTGCCTTATCGGTCTCACATCAGGCCCACTTCAGATACCACGCCGCTTCGCCACTGGCCGCCTCGGCTCCGAGCGCCCCTCCCCACTACTGACCCTGCTGCGTGGGCGAGAGGACGAGGTCGGCGGCGGCCGGGTCACCCGGCTGCGAGCCGGAGCTGGTGGTGCGCGTGCGCGCGCGTCGGAAGCTGGGCGGCACCAGCTCGGCCGGCAGCGAGTTGGCTAGCTTGTCGCCCTGCCGCGTGCGCTCGCACAGGTGCAGCGCCAGCACGAACTCCTCGCAGGAGAGCCGGCCGTCCTGGTCCACGTCGCAGAGCGACCTGGTCGCCAGGCGGGTCGAGGTCAGGCGACTGGTGGGTGTGGCCGGTGGGGTTGGGGTCAGACGGCTGGTGAGTATGGCCGGCGGGGTCGGGGTCAGACGGCTGGTGAGTATGGCCGGCGGGGTCGGGGTCAGACGGCTGGTGAGTATGGCCGGCGGGGTCGGGGTCAGACGGCTGGTGAGTATGGCCAGTGGGGTCGGGATCAGGCGACTGGTGAGTGTGACTGGTGGGGTTGGGGTCAGACGGCTGGTGAGTGTGGCCGGCGGGGTCGGGGTCAGACGGCTGGTGAGGATGCCATGCGGGGTCGGGGTCAGACGGCTGGTGAGTGTGGCCAGTGGGGTTGGGGTCAGGCGGCTGGTGAGTGCGGCTGGTGGGGTCGGGGTCAGACGGCTGGTGAGTGTGGCCGGCGGGGTCGGGGTCTGGCGGCTGGTGAGTGCGGCTGGTGGGGTCGGGGTCAGGCGACATCAAGGGTGCGGCAGGACTCCATACCTAAGCAAATCGTTTCCCAGTTGGTTCAGGAACAGCCGCCGTAGGTCGATGAAGTCATGGAACGTCACGCAGTGCCAGAAGACGGCGAAACATGTTTCGTGGGTCGAACACGATTCAGTACCGAGTTGATGAACAGTCTAACAAAGCAACATCTCCTCCCTCCCCCCCCCCCCCCGCCCTCCTGACCACGCCTCGTTTGAGGATGAGTGAACCGAGCAATGCCCCGCATTTCACCGCCCTCCCTAGCAATGCCGCGGCCAGGCCTGGCCTTCATTACGGCACCAGGCGGCACCAGCTGGCGCCGGGCCCGCGCGCTCTCACCAGATCTGCGCCAGCACGCTGTTGGGCAGGCCGCTCTGCACCAGGATGTTGCGCGCCTGCGGGCCTGACAGGTAGCCGGACTTGGTGCGGTCGTGCTGGTTGAACGTCTGCGTGTACTTGAGCCGCGAGGCCTGCGGCACGGCCCACTCGGCGCCGGGAGAGGCGCCCGTCGCCCTGTGCGCCGCCACAGAGCCGGGCATGAGCGGCAGCCGCCGCCACCAGAGACGGCACGGCCAGGATCGGCCAGCGCGCGGCGGCCACATCATGTCGTAATCACTTGATCTATGTGGCTTACGATTTCACTGATATGTACCTGTCATCCACTAAATAAAGCATGGCTTACAATAACACTGTGGCGCACATCGCTCACAAAGCGCACTGCCAGCGCCAGCAGCCGAAACATCCAGGAAAGGCCAGCGCGGCGATTTAAGATTGCAGCGAGAATGGCAGATCTCACCAAAACTTAAGAAGGTTACTGCGACGACATGCACACAATCAGACCAAATATCATGGCAACCAAATGCGGAGATTAAACAGGCGGCAAGAGTCTAGACCGGAGCCTTTCGGACAGCCGAGCAAATGGTGCACTTGGCACGCGCCGTGCCGCCCAGAAAACCTGGCGTGCCGGCAGCAGGGTGTAGCCTGGCCGCCTCGGCACCGATCGAGCGCGAGCGCCCGCCGACCGGGACACGTCGCGTCGCCTCCGGGGCCGCCGTAGCCGAGCGCAGAAAGCAGAGCATCCACTCACGACTCCTGGCTGGCCACAGAGTCAGACCTCGACCGAGAGACCGTCGGGCCGGGCGGCGGCGGCGGCTGCGGCTGGGGCTGCGACGCGGCGAACTGCGCCGGCTGGATCGGCACCGGCCCGGTGGCCACCAGCGGCGCGCTGACGCCCATCTGCTGGCGCGGCGCGCCGGCCGGCGGCCCCGCCAGTCCGCCCAGCGGCGCCAGCGGCTGCGAGACGCCCGCCACCGGCACCAGCGGCTGCGACAGGCCGGCCGGCACCAGCGGCGGCCCGGCGCCGGGGATGAGCGGCGCCGCGGCCGGCACCAGCGGCGCCCCAGCGCCGGGCACCAGCGGCTGTGCCAGCCCGCTGGGCGCCAGCTGCGGCGGCGAAAGGGCACCCACTGGCGCCAGCGGCTGCGGGAAGTCGCCCGTCGCCACCAGCGGCCTGCTCAGACCACCCGCCGGCATCTGCGGCTGGGGGAACCCACCTGAAAACCGCGCCGACCGCGTTATCACCCACCGCGCCCAGCCAACTCCGTTCATGTCCTAATGCATCCTGGCAATCTGCAAGCAATCCTACATCAGCACACACCCGAACATTATAACCTGCAGCTGACAGCTGACGTGGAATCATACTTGGCTGAGTGGACGTTGGCGTCAGCATGTTTTTCAGCGCCGGCGGGAGAGTGGAGGGCACGTCGAAGCCCTTCAGCTTGTTAGTGATCAGCTTGCACGCCACGCTGAACTCGTTGCGGTCCATCTTGCCGTCCGCGTTATGATCAGCCAGGCCCCTGCAACAAGCAACGGTCAGCGTTCTCGCCAGGGCCGAAAGCACTCCACCTCGCAAGACCTCCTCATCGATTTCAACATCGCCAACACAAGAGAACCAGCTATCGCGCAAGCACAAACCAACACCAACGAAGCAGTTCACGCACGCAAAACTGGCCTGACTGCGCCTTGCCCAGTGTTCCGCCGCAGACCCGGTCTGGCCACGCGGCAATCGCAACCGCTCCTCACCATATCTTGCCGAGCACGGCCGGCGGCAGCTGGCTCTGCAGCAGGAATCCCTTGGCCTGTTCGCCGGTGATGAGGCCGGCGGCGGAGGGGCCCAGCCCGCTGAACTGCTGGTCGTGTTTCGCCCGTTCGGGCGGCGTCACCACCCAGGGATCCATCTGTCGACACGGCGGCCGCGCTGCTACGGCGCCACGCGCGAGACAGACACGGCGTGTTGGGCGGCGCGACTGGTTCGCGCCAAAACTGATCGTGCATGAATGGTGCCGCTCATCTGCGAGACATATACATCTGAGCAGGCTGAAGATGACAGATAAGTGGGGCAAATGGTGTGGATGACGCTACCACAAGCATTTCCTCCAATTCAACACCACCTGGCAGCTGACACAATGCTTTAACAAAAACAACACCACCTGGCAGCTGACACAGCTAAAACCCACGATGTCAGCATCTAGTACTCCACAGACATCTTGCACTATTCATGTGATCAATGCCACTGCCTGCAGGCCAGACTACCACAAAACAGCACATCTCTATGTCAGCTTTAGTATAAAACGATGCTGGGGGTGTCCAAAAGGGCCTTTTAGAATAATATATGAGGGTGTTCTCTCCTAACATACCTTGGAAATTTGTTACAAACACCCCCACATTTCATGACAGTGATCACAGCCTAAGACCCTGACTGGCATGGCCTGAGGGTAGAGGAATGGCTGTGGTCAACAGACACTCCCACTATTCCACCAATTGGTCTAAAACATGCAGCAAATTTCGGCCAATGCCTGCTACCACTTACCATATCTCAGGCGTGGATGCTAAAGGCTCCCTTAACAGAAACTATCAGTGTGGGTGGCTGTGCCCTATACACAAAAATATCCTCAACTTAACCACATTTTCCCTAAATCTAGACCTCGCCCTATAATTGGGTACACTTGTGGCCTGAGAGCTTGTACAAAGCAGTGATTGTGTGTGAATCCTTACCTCACCATCCGATTTTGACATTTTGGTTCAACAGCACAATTCAGGAGCAGCCACTGAATGTGATACAACACCTGGCATGGTCCACCTCACCCTTTGACCTTGTCTGACCTCCAGCAGGTGCTGTCACCAGTTGCAGGCCATCCCAGTCAGGGGCAAATAGAAGCATGTAAAACCTTTGAGCCAAGGTCCCACTATGAGTAGGGGTGGATCAGATGGCAAAGATTGTATAGTTTGTATGCTGGTGCTCAAACCAATTAAGCTATGGGAGAAGATGGTTAATAATTAACAATGCTTGATTCTCAGGTCCACATACCACTTTTGCTTGTTTATAGTACCAGCACAATATCAGACCCAGTCAAGGGGTATAATAGTGGTTAGCCCTTTCAGCTCACATGTAGGGATCCCAGGTTTGAACCATGGTCACACAATGACCCTGAGCACTATTGTGGGCTCTGCAGTTGCTAGTGGTGCACATAAGATGGCACAGAATGTAGGTCACATTCTTTTTACAAATACCTGTCACAGAACATAATTTGAACATTTGAGTGATGAACTTTCCTTCCTGCACACACAAAAAATAGTCCCACAGAAAGCAAAAAAGTTGGTAATAAGTAAATGATGGCAATGATCATGGCAAAAGATAGCATTTAATGATGACAAAAGATAGCATGAAAATTGGCTGTCAGTCAAAAATTGTCCATGCAGTAGTGCTGCAAAAAATATTGAAGGAAATATTGTAGATAGCAAACAGATGTATACAGAAAATTATGTGGGGATAAAATATTGAATGGAAAGGATCATGAAAAAAATACTTCAAGTAGATGATATGGCATACATGATGTCAGGATTGCATGCAACATATTGAATGCAACAAATAATGCTGGATACAGAACATCCAAAGAATGCCTGTCACAGATGGCATTTAAATTAGCATCACAAAGGATCATTAGAAGGTTATGTAAAGTCAGTGAGGTAAAGTGCCTGCAGTGAGCAATTAATAATTTTAAAATTTGTTAGCATTCATGAATTGAATACTCTGATGAAACATAGCATTCCAAAGCACAATACACTTGATCAGGAATGGAGATCAATATTAAGAAATGTACTGATGTCTGCACTTTATGAAACTAATATGATTGCAAATGTTATGAAAAAAGTATTGGCACAATATGTTGTTGACTACTCAGTTCATGGCCAAATAGGTACATGTGTGCTCATGCCCATGCAACTCTATACTTTATGGTTAAAATCTCAGAAACATCTTTTATTTAAGAATACCATTACTACACAGAGTATATGCCATGGTATGGATAATTGGCTCTTGACCTATGATTAGATTTGGACTGTTGGGATGGATTTATGGCTATTATCTGGCAAATTCTGTATCTGCCCAGATGGTAAAGCCCATCAACCAGCTTGTACCTCCATGGTTTTAAAAAGGGAAACAGTTCTTAAAAGGCCTTCACATATTTTGGTTTGTTGTCTTGCTGTCAATTTTTACCTAATCATGCTGAGGTTCACATAAGACATTCAATTTTTCTGAAAAGAAAGCCATACTAATGTAGTAGTATTACATTCATATTATTTATTTTATTTCAATATAATTCTTGTTTTATATTATATGATTTTACATTAATATAATTTATTACACAAATCAGTATTAACTAATTCAAATTTTAAGTAATAGTTTGGTTTTGCCTTGCTGCCTTTTAGCTGTATGGTAAATCTTGGTGCCATAAAAGGGCTAATATGGTGTGAAATGGCACATGCCTTTCAAAAATGGCATTTTCTACCTCATTTCAGTGAGAAAACTATATCCACCTCACAGGTCTTTTGGAATTATTGAGACTCCTGTGAGTAGCTATTAAGGTATCCAGGCCACATGAATGGCAGCCAAATATAGCTAAACAGTTCGCTTTCAAACAGGCACTATGTTTGGAAGGCTGAGTCAGTCTGCAAAAAACATCCACTGTGCTGGGTACCTATCCAACATTGTATACTAAATTCAGTGCTGGCTTGCATACACTAAACTCAAGTGACAACAAACTGTGCTACATTTTCACATCATGTTTTCTTTAAAAAAACTGGACCACTTTCCTGATCTATTTTTTGCATCACGATTCCTTACATTATTGACCCTTTAAGCAGTAAAATTGGTGCTGATCATGTGCCAAACTTGGAACACTTTTACTAACAACATAAGTGTGCTGGCATCGTTGCAGCGATTTTGCTGCTATGCTGGATATGTTCAGCATAACTTCCATTCTTTTTAAAGTATGGCTTCAAGTATGTAAAAATGCCAATTTATCCCAAAATACTGAAAAAACAGGAAAAACTCAGGAAATTTTCATAGCAAATTCAGGGGCCTATAAACTTGTAACAAAAAAGAGAATTGTACACTTGGTCCTTTCCATCACCACTATGTGGGGCAGGAATAGCTATGACAGATGTTTTTATGACAACTGCTGTTGGCTCCAACATGTTATGAGTGTACAAAACGACTAAGCACGTTTAATTAGGAGGCATACATACCCTTTGCTGCTACTTTAACACGGCATACACCCAGGGAAAGGCACTTTTCAGCAGGTATTCAAGCTGCCTGAGCGGTGTTGAACGGGAACAGGTAACCGCGTCACCTTAACCACCCGGGTTTGCCATGGGCCAGGGCAACTGCACGCGCTTACCTTCGTTCAGTCCGATTCCGAGGATTCTCAGCTTGATATCAACTTATTATTATAGCAACCCGACCTGCACAACCCTCACCAAATAGTGGGCGTGTTCACGCCGACAAACCCCGTCCAAGCCCCGTCATTCGTCTCACTGGCGACAGGAGCGCTTAGCTGAAATCGAGGCTTTAACGAAAGAAAACGGAACAAGATGTATTCACAGCAACACACCACTAGGGCTCGTTGCCAATAACGACCAATCATGTACATTAGGGGTATTTCTTGACCAATCGTCGATTAGCACGGTGCCAGCGAATAAGCTGAGGATTTGCCTTAAACAGAACTTTTACGTTGGATATGACGTAACTTCTATCGAGCGTTTGCATGCATTGCCAAATTATTGATGCATTCTAAAGCAGCGTCAAAGTTTGTGTCCCACCAGACATGGTGATCATCATCGATATTAAATATATGATGATCATCCAGTTTTGCTTAGTGCGATGTATTGATGTCATCACTTTGAACCACTTGGATGACACGGGGTCAGATAAGGCTTTGACGTCATTCTAGCCCATGAATAACCATTTGGCGCCCATCATTGGCTTATTTCGGCTACTAGCCTGCGTTGGCAAAAGATAAAGGGCACTCGAACAGGACGCTACTGTATACGCTGGTGGCGCCCTTGCTTCGATGATGCGCTTTGTCATATTTTGACATCTCAGATTGTAAACGTCGGCTTCTATCGACGTGGCTGGTCTCAGATCTAACCCGTTGTGATGGATTAAGGTGTTAGGGCGTAACTGTCATCTCAGTGTGCCTGCTAGTTATAGCTTTCAAGGCTTAAGCCAAGCGGAGGACTTCTACGTGCGTAATCTTTTTATGCAGTATATATCTGTGCATCGTGTCATCTGTGCATCTTTAGAACACACCAGCGCCTACATTTCCTGCCTTAAAGGCCTCTTGATCAGCTGCGGGTAAGTATTGCATGTGAATGGGAAGGCAAATTTGGAGTGCCTAACAAACTTCCTACGTTCCTGTGTGTTGCCCCAGATACCTTTTAATGTTGTATTTTGGAAAAATGCTGCCTAAATGGCTGCATTTGTGGCATTGTGGTGTTCAGGTAATCAGTTTGCCATGTTTGACTTGCTATTGATGGTTTCTGTCACAGTTATCTAGGAGATGCATCAAACAGATGAAAAGAAGAATGCTCTTGCCTGCCCATTTATATGCTTTCTGTTCTGCATGCATATTCATAGCTCTCATGGTGCCTTTAGCATCACATAATTGTTTGTTGAAGCTTGCTGTCTACCTGTTGACAGTGAAAGCATGTTTTGTGAACCCCTAGTTGACATCCAGTTTAATAGATAATATTTGTTGTTTTGTTATTGCCTTTTGCCATATAGGGCCTATGTAATGTTTTGTTTTTTATGCTTTGCATATAATATAATGCTGCAGGACAGTGATGCTAGCTCATTCTAGGAAATTGATCCACTCTGCTATAATGCCTGTCCTCATGAATGTTGCTGTTAAAACTTACACCATGCACTTAACCTGCCATATGTATGTACATGACGGAGTTCAGGCCAAATTGACTAAATTTTCTAGTTGTTTGGGCTTGGAAAACCCTTCTTAGCATAATTTAGCATGAAACACTATTACAAGCCTTTAATTTTAACCCTATTTTTGAGGAAGTGATGGAAACAGACCCATAGGTTCCTTATATGGAGGCATTGGTGGTGACCCATGCGGCCGTATCCAACTCGGGGCACTCATGTCCTGCTGTTTTGGCCATTCATGTGCTGAAAATATGTGATGAGCATGCATGCACATAAATTTTTAGTGCAACGCTGTCATTACACTGGACATATTTCCAAGACAATGTTGCACCCAAGCTGGCATGTTTACAATGTTGAGACTGTTCTGGACATGCTCCAGGTAACATGTATTTTTTAGCATGGCCCTGAGGCAGGTTGTCAGCTATTGGCCATTTGCCAACTGACCTTTCCCTCTTATTCAGGTCAAACAATGTGCCTGCTATATGACCCATGTCCAGTGCCACTGAGTAATTGGTCCAGCATCTTTTCCTGGACCACAAAAGTGTGCATGCAACACATGCATCCTGTCATACTCATTCACTGTTTCTAGCCCTGGGGCATGTGCCCCTTTCCCTCCCTTAGGTCCTGAAAGATCCTTTGGGTTCCTCAGGACTGATGATTAAGAGCCCACTATGAGGGCTTGAAGTACTGGCTGGAGATCATATAGTGGTCTAGGACTTCAAATGTCCACTCAGTCAAAGGGTTTGGGCTGATTGAGCCCCTGAACCAATGGGGGTCTTACATCAGTCAGTTGTTACCAACACTGCACAGTCAGTTCTGTGTCTCTTCTGGGCCTGAGGGTCCATTTCCCAAACAGGGACAAGGTTAGTGCCCGCAATTTACATTGGTCAAGGCCCCTGAGTCAACGGAAAACCATGTTAGGCTTCATTCTTTCTGTGGCCTGTGTTAAGCCTTATGACACCTAGGAGAATTCCAACTATATGTTGTTATGTTATGGTTGGGTATGCTGCAGTAAAGTATGTGAAAAAGTGCTATTTGTGTGATCACTTTTTGATACTTTTCCTCCCATGTTGAGTGACCATATTTTTGCCAGGATGGGCATGGGCCTGTGTGCCATCCTGTGTGCACCTGTGATGGTTATCAGAGGAGCCCGGCAGTGGGGAGGCATGGCTTTCATTCCCAGTGGATGGATCCAAATTGGCTGCATACTGTAGGGAGTGGCATCGCCAAGCCTTAGAGTGAACATTCAGTTATGTTCCATGCAAGGTGCAGTCACTGAGAAACAGCAATGGGTGACTGTTCCCAGGTGGATGACACATCATTGGTGTACATATGAATGGTACTACCTTTCAGAACCCGTCCTCATCACTTGTGTCGAACTGTGGGCATATGCTCGCTGCATTCGGCTATTTATTTCAAGTGTTTCTTGTCTTCGGCTTGTATCCTCTCCCTCACCTTAACCTGTGCAGAGTTCAGTATTTTACCATGGTCAAAGTACTTAAAAGTTGTAAATGAACTGTAGAGTCATGATGGAACTCCGTCATCATCAAATGATGTTGGTCGTTGGAAAGAATGGTGCTATAATATCTAGTCCTGCTGTTTTTTAACATTATCTATTTTTGCGTGATGAATCCACGTTATGTCCGGTTTTAGTACCAGCAGTGACACCAGTGCTGTTTTGCACCTTGTGCTACCGCAGCCAATGACCGTGCACCATTCACCATCTTCCACACGCTTCCTGCATTGTGTGATAGCTGGCATCCAAGAGGCTTGGTAGACATTGAAAGGTCGCTGATGGATATGCGGGACGACAACGAGCTGTTTTCCCTTCACTCTGCCTGAATTGAGTCCAGCCTTTCGGAGTAAGGACATCCGTTGTGAAAAAACAAAGAAATTTATTCGTGTTACGACGCATGAATCATCCTTGGCTTCACGATGTCACCCCGGTTGTAGTGCGTTGGGGCGCCGCACATCAGCAGGTCTCCAACTCGCACGACTGTGGCGACGCGCGCTAGCATCGTCCACCAATGAGCTCCAACGCCGCGGAGGTTTGTAGGAGGATACTGCCGAATATGCGGACTCCTTCACGTGTCGTTTGTTCTCGTAATGATACGCCATCGACAGGGACACAGGTCGAAGATCACTTATTTATTCTGATCGGATCTTGCCCGATTGTTTCATTTCTTGTCCCCAGCAGGGTTGCGCAGTTTGCAGCAATCAACATCGGCACGTACCCCGCACGCCGCTAAACGCGCGGCAACGAGGCGAGCGCTCCTGCGATGCGATGTAAGAATGTTTAAGGCATGCGGTTGTTACGCAAAAAATCCGGTTTAAGTGCGTGTTCACTTGCACCCGAGTGCTTCGATACAGGTGGTGATCGGCGGGGCCTGCGGGCGGGGACCATGGGGCTTCGCCGGCCTCTGCCTGCTGGTCGGAGACCGGGGTAGTCCCTTACGTGCTGGCAACAGCGGAAAAGCACAGCAGCGGGCCGGTGTTATACGCCCAGCGCCAAGGTCCCGCGACGTCAGTGCGCCGCGGCCGTGGTCAGTAGGTGGCGTCGCCTGTCGGAGGAAAGTGAAACTGCAGCTTGATGGATGTGACACGGGGCTGGTGTTTTGGGGGTCTGTGTCGTGTCCTCGGAACGGACCCATGGCGGGGGAGAGACAACTTCCCCCGCCCCATCCCCCCCCCCCGCCCTCACTGCTCCCCACACCCCACACTAATATTTGCCAAAGTTTGACAAAAATGCAGATATCTGGGCTTCGAACAAAATCTAAGAACATTTTCCTAAGAAACGTTTGCATTTGCAGAACAACAAGTCGAGACAAAAGCAGCGAAATCCCATGAGTTTTTGAAGGCCAAGACACCTCTTGCAATCCCTCTCCCCCCCCCCCTTCTCAAGCCGCCGTAACCTCTCGCCCAGGCAGCCGGATCCGATTGGGCGTTGGCCGTTTGCTGGCGAGTTTTTTTGGGCTTATCTGGTCTGGAAGCAGCGCGAAACTCGGTCACATATGTTTTGTCACTTAGTCTTACATCATTGTTGGCCGACAAAATTTGTTAATCGCTGCAAACTAGGTCAATCAGTGATCTAGGCGTGCTGAAATCGCAATAGAGCCAAGTTGCGTTTGAAATGTGCTTGGTCTACGAGGTGCTTTCGTCGACATTGTAACTTTTCAGTTTTTAGACGGGCAACAATTTTACGGGCAAAACTCATCGAGACCATGTGCAAGTTCCGCCAAGTCCGTCACAGCACCATTGTCGTAGTGGAGCCGTCCTTTTATCCGCTGTACAATACGTTATCCATGACAGCGGTAATTGCGGGTCTGATGGGTGCGCGCCTCGTAGCCATTGCCAGCTCGCCTCACGAGAGGCGAGGTCCGGGCGAAATCGGAGACCGTGACATTCGTTTTTACCATAACCAGCAAACATTGGGTCTGGTCATTGTGACTACTGGAACAAGCGAGTTTTGTTTTATTGTGTGCCATGCGAACCAGTCAGCACTTTGCAAGGACGGTTGATGTCATTGTTGAGAGCCTGCGCGAGAACAGCCTTGTTTATTGTCTGGTTGTTGTCACGTTCATATTGTTTTGCTTACTTT